AGAAGCAGAAAAAAGCAACATCAACAGCCAACAAATGGCACTCAGGGAGCCAGCCAGTGTGGGCAGGTGGAATCCAAGCAGCAGCAGGGTGACGCCGGTGCTTCCCAGCCAAGAGACTGTGGCTGCAGGAGGCAGCAGAGGCTGAGTGGGGTTGAAGAAAGGTGGGGGTGGGGGGTGGGAAAGCATATATCACTAGTTACTGGTTGTTCTGTCTCCTGCTGGAAGCTCCATGAAGCTGCTTTCTCATACCCCCTGTTCGCCGATCTCCGATAGGAGTCCAAGACGGCGGATCTGTGCTGTGCTAGCTGATACGGAACCTCTGCATGGATCTCTCCTCACTCTCTGTTCTCTGTCAGTTTCTTATTCCGTTCAGTGCTTGGCTGAGTTCTTTATCTCTTCATTTGATGCTTAGGGTTTCAGGATTGACGTTTGTCTCTGTTTGACTTAGTTTTTCTGATCTTTGCTGTGGAAGGATGGCGTGGTGCTTCTGTTTATAGTGCTACGTTGCCCAGAAGTCTGAATCATATTTCTTAACAATCACTGGTACAGATTTCAGTCAGGAGGGTCTTCATTGGTCCACCAAATTTTCTATTCTCTAAATGCTAATAGAAAAAGATAAGAATGGAAAGTCTTTTGTGTTCTGTTTGATTGGCTTGTTTCTTCCCTAAAAGATAATTTCCAAGATTATCCTAGCTATTGTCTTTATACTTCATGGCACAGTTGATGTGTCCTTGTGAGTCCTTGTGGACCCTTGTGAGCCCAGCTCTAGGTAGGTCACATTCTCTATGCTCACGTGCAGGGAATAATGATTCCAATATTATTTCCTAAATCAGAATTTGCCCCTGGTAATTAAATTTTCTCTAGATTTCAACCCTCCATCAACTACCAATGTGACCTTTAGCAAGATATATAAACTAAGAATGGCCAGTTACCCACCCTTTTGCCTGGACCTTTGGGTCTTCATTTGAAAAATGAAAGGACTAGAAAAGATGATTTTGAGGTTTTTCCTGCTCTAAGATTTGAGAATTTGATAATTACTCAGTAATGAAAGTCAGATTTTTGGGCCCCGGAGTGATTATTTTGTCCACTTATAAATATTCTCCCACATTTATCTACCTTAAGCCTGCTGCCACCACCACTGCTTTCCCGGATGGAGACATGCCAGGCTGATATAAACCTAGTGGAGTTTTCTTAAAAAACTAGACTTAGCCACCTTGTTCATACTCACAGGCTTCCAACATTCATTTATCCATTCATTCAACAAGCATTTACTGAAGGTCTGTTCTGTGCCAGATACTAAGCTTTAGAATCTGGTCTATGGCTTTTTATCCATCTTCCCTTTCACTGACTTTGTTTGATAAACCAGGCAGACAACAATGTAGGAAATGTATATTTAATCATTCTCATGAATGGTCAGAACTCTAAAATCAAGTTTTTTATAACAAAATGTAATACATTCATGGTGGGCCCAAAGCGGGGCTTTGAACCAGTTCGTTCCCGTTTGAACTCCTACTGAGAATTTGTATTTCTAACAAGTTCCCTGCTGAGAATTTGCATTTCCATCCCAGATATACTGAGTCAGAATCTACCTTTTAACAAGATCCCCAAGTTGTTCTTATGTATAACTTCCTGAGAACTTGTTATAGAAATGCAAATTTTTAACTAAATGTTTGAAGCCCTAGTCCAAAGTGCCAGGGAGGCAGTTGTCAACATGAGAAAACTGTGGGAAGGCGGCTGAGAAAAAAACATTCTTTTAAAAAAATTTTTTTATTGTGCTTTAAATGAAGGTTTACAGAGCAAATTAGTTTCTCATTAAACAATTTCACATATTGCTTTGTGGCATTGGTTGCCAACCCTGCAACAAGTCAACACTCTCCCCTTCTCGACCTTGGGTTCCCCATTTCCAATCATCCAGTTTTCCTGTCCCCTCCTGCCTTCTCATCCTTGTCCTTGGGCTAAAAACATTCTTTTCTATCAAAGCTTCAACCCTCAGGGCCTTGTTTTAAAGGGTCATTGCCCCTGCTTTCAGAAGTCTCTTGTGAGTTTCAAGGAAGATACATCTTTGTTGCCTTAATTTGAATTTTGACCAGGCAGGGTCCTGAGACCTAAAGTTAAAATGAGGAAACAAGATGGAATGTGGCAGCTCTCTCACAGAACCTGGTTTGTAGGATAGAATGAAGGGAGAGGAACCTGGCTCAACCAGCTGAAGATAATCCTATCAGGAATTTTCCACAAGCATTGTGAACCCTGTTCGCTGCAAGATGTTATCCTGGTCAGAGTTCTGGCTCTCTGTGTTGAGGCAGCAGCCAGAGAGATGGAGGCTAATGCTCATTTTAAGAAAGTAAACAGGTTTGTTTGCCCTTGGTAATTACGCCCTCTTTCTGCTATACATCAGGGTTTCTTAACCTTGACATGATTGGTACTGTGATCTGGATAATTCTTTGTCTTGGAGGGATGTCCTGTGCATTGTAGGATGTTGAGCAGCATCCCTGGGCTTTATCCACTAGATGCCAGCAGCGCTCATCCCCCCAGCTGTGACAACTAAAATTGTCTCCAGACCTTGCCAAATGTCCCCTGGGGGCCAAATAACCCCCAGTTGAGTCCCACTGCTCTAGATGTTGTTGAAAGCTGAGGTCATAGCTGTCCATGCAGGATAGAAAGTAGAAATCTCTGAAACCTTGTGATGATATAATGTCACAGTCAGTAAAGGTGAGAGAGGCCCTTCCCTGGACCATTCAAGCATGAACATTATCTGAGATATAAAATGGTGTTTGTTTTAAAAAGAAGTGCTTAGATTATTTAGAAATCAGTGTCACTCAACTACTACTACTTTTTTTTTAATGCTAAAATTATGATCATTCTTCACATTTCTTTGGCATTTGTCAAATGGAAGGAGAAGCCAAAGCACTTTTGGAAGCATCATCATAAAAAGAGAATCATTCGACCCACCACTAAAATACAGCCACCTCTGAGTTGTGAAGTAGCAGCTGACTAGTAGTAGTTTAATTTGTGGAATATAAAACATGAATATATTGCAAAAGACGCTTTCTAGGAACGTCCTCAGAGCAGCGGTACATACAGCACATATAACTAAGGATTCAGAGAAAAAGAAAATGCAGTATCCCATCATCTTGTTCCCCAGGACTTGATGGGTGAGGGGAGGACCCTGAAATATGGAGATGCATTTGTTTCCACATTCATTTTACATAGAAGTTTTAACGCATTTCTCTAGCTCGGATGAATTTTTTTCCCAAATTTTAGCATGTATCCTTGAAGATAGATTTATCTTGTTCATATTAGAGTCTTCTGTGAGTTGCTTTTGGCTTCATTTTGCTTCTTGATCTAGTTTGTTTACTCCAGACTGCCAGACATGAATTCATTTCTCCCCAAAAGGACAAACTAGGTCATATCTCATGGTAAAATAATTCTGAAGATTTCTGGAATTCTGAAAAGTAACAGCAATAAGATACCATTACATCCATTCAGCAAACATTTATTGAAAACGGAAAGAGTCTCCCTGCCCCTGTATAAATGTTATCTATTGTTCAGAAATGGGGCTTATTTTTCTGTACTTTGACCTTGTTCTATCAAGGCCACATGATCCCATAGGTTGCTGGAGAAAGGAGATGCTTGAGTCTCTCCTTGACAGGGGATTATCCTAGTGACAATCTCAGGGAAAAGACAGGTTGTTAGAGAGCAAACAGGAATGGAAAGATGAATTCTGGGCAGGCATGAGAAGAAATACTTATCAGTGCCCCACTCTCTTGGATCTGAAAGTGCAGAAGTCTAGATGGACTTGAGGTTGCTCCTGGGTAGAAGCAGAAATATGGCTTCTGCCTCAGTTTCCAACCAGGGAGTGCGTGTGACCTAAAATGTCATGATCAGCTATGAGGTGTATCTCACCTAATGAGCTCTTCATTTCCTTTCCAAAATCAATTTGATTTAAGATTATCCCTATATGATTTCTAGGGAGAAGGAGGTGGAGCTGTAGCCAACTTGATAATGGTATCTATCCTTGGGTGACAGTATATAACCCTATGTATACTGCACATGACCATCGTCTGTTACATGTATATCAGGGCTTTAAAGAAATAAAGACTGCAAATTACTGCCCTAAAGGAGTACAAAATAAAGGTGGGCAAGCTATACTTTACAGGTCATATTATCTAGTTGCAAGTTATTAAAAACCCATTTACGGTGTTGTGGGGAATTAAGGAAAGAAAAAGAGGTTTCTTCTTCTACCAGTAATATCCTTAAGGGACAATTTTTTCAGGGAAACTGAGGATTGACAACCATGGAGGACTGAGAGTGATGGGAACTGACAGGTTCCCTTACAAAGAACCTACTTTGTACCATAGTAAGAGTTTGGAGAACATGAGAAAGAATGAAAAGAAGCAGATGAACAGCTCTTTACCTGCCCTTAACAATCTAGGCAAAGAATACGTGTGACTTAGAGAGTGCAAGATATCATAAATTATATATGCGTGCCAAGGGGATGTGAAATAAAAGGACCACCAGGAAAGGGTGCTATGATCTAGGAAGCACCCCCTTGAATTGGATGAAGGAAGTGGTCGATATAAATTGTTATTAAAAACAAACAGAAAATCTGTTGCCGTCAAGTCAATTCCAACTCATAGTGACCTTATAAAATAGAGTAGAACTGCCCCACAGGGCTTCCAAGGAGGGGCTGGTGGATTTAAACTGCCAACCTTTTGGTTACCAGCCAAGGTCTTAACTACTGAGCAACCAGGGATTGCTATACCCCCAGGAAAAAAATCAAACCCACTGCCGTCGAGTCGATTCTGACTCATAGCGACCCTATAGGACAGAGTAGAACTGCCCCATAAGGTTTCCAAGGAGCTCCTGTTGGATTTGAACTGCCAACCTTTTGGTTAGCAGGCGTGGCTCTTAACCACCAAGGTTTCCAAGGGATTTCTATAGAGTAGAGGAAATTTTCAGGTAGAGGCTGCAAGAGATGGAGCAAGGCCAGAGAGTAGTAGGTTAAGAGGTAGGGGAAGGAGAGACACTGTTAGAGGGTTGTGACTCACAGCTGAGGACTTTAACTTTGCTATAATAGTGGCCAGACAGCCACTATAGGTTTCAGCAATGGAATGCTGTGATAAAAATAGTATTTGAATAATTTTATTCTGGTACCTTGTTTCCTATCGACTGCAGCAGGGAGAGGGAGGAACCCAAGTACAAGCTTCTAGAGTGGTCTGGATTAGGATTAATCTGATCAAGGACACAGGGCAAATTGCTGTAGGGCTTGGTAACAAATTGACATGAAGGACAGAGAGGAGACAAAAATAGCTCTGAGGCTGAGCCTGGAGGCTTGGTGGTGATGCCACTGAGTAATGTGGGAGGTGTTGATCGGAATTTCATGAGCTCAATTTTACACAAATTCTCCATGCAGAAGAATTTTCAGGAGGAAATGTCTTACAAGTAATTGGATCCAGAAGACTGAAGTAAAAATGAGAGTTCTCGGCAGGAGGTCTAGTGTGTGAGTCATTTGCCAAATTTCCTGTCAACGGGGACCTTGTTAGGGTGGGTCACTTGTGTGAGTGATTATGTGCATGTCACAATGCTTCCTAAATTAACAGTGAAATCCAGAGCAACTAGTCAGGGCTACATATCTCTTTTGCTTAAATAAGATATTTTTGCCTTCATCGATGACTCCATAAATGAAAAGGTGTTTGAATTTACACAAATATTTGAATTGTATAGAGTTGTTTTTCCTATAAATCTGTCAGTGAGGCCTGTGCTCTTTGTTAAGCTAACAAATGATTACCCTTTACAATACCAGTGGAAATATAGTGCCCAATGTCCTGGCATTATTAAATGTTTCTCTCTGAGGCTGATGCTGGAGGCTACTTGACTCTTGTTAGCAACACAAGCACAGACAGAACCTGTCTCCCACACCATTTGTGATTCATCTCACCTATTGTACCAATGACTTGGCATGTTTTTTTGTGGCCAGGACACATTATTTTAGCATCAGGTAAGGTGAGAGAGGCAGAAGTACCCAGTTGATGGCACAGAGAGAGGAGACACATAGGGAAGCCTTTGAGTTCAGCAGCTGTAAGTGACTCCGCCTTTTGATCTCAGAGCCTGCAAAGGGAGAGAAAAAAGGTTCAGGGTCATAGAGGAGAAGGTGGATGTCTTCTTCATATGGCTGGTTAGCAAAGAAAAAGTACCTGAAAAACAGAACAAGTTGTTCCTAATACAGACAATTTTGTACCCCATTCATCACCTTACTGTAACTGGTTTAAAAGCAGAACTTTCCCTTTCTTCAAAGGAAGTTCCATTCTGTGGTCCAGTCCAGTGAGTGTTCAGTCAAATGAAAAATTATACCAATAAAGGGATTATTATTGGCTACCAAATAAAGAATAGGTTTAAAAAACAGCCATGGCCAGTCTTTGGGTCTGGACACATTTTTCCCCTAGGCAGTGACCTTTATGGGTTCTGTCACTAACTTTTATTACATCACTATAAAGTGATGAGAAAATATTCTTCTCATTTTGTAGAGAAAGGTAAAAGGGAAGAAATGAAGTTACTCTTGTTTTGCTCTATTTTCATCCTAGAAAATCTCATTTAGTTCTTTTCAGCTCTGACACTTACTAACTGTGTGACTTTAGGCAAGTTACTCAATCTATATGTGCCTCAGTTTTTAATCTATAAAGAAGAAAATAATATGTATATAATAATAATAATAATAATCTACTTCATAGGGTTCTTATGAGGATTAATGAGTTAACACAGGTAAAGCACTTAGAACGGTGCCTGGCACATAGTAAGTGCTCAATAAGTCTTACCTATAAAAGCAGCAATAACAGCAACCACACTCTAGCCTATAAGCATTACTTCCATTCTGATTATTTCCAAATCCATTTCTTTAGCTTGAACTCTATCCTGAGTTCCACATCTGGATTTGCAGTTGCTACTAGGTGTCTCATTTAAAGACATAATTATTTAGTAAATGTTTTTGAGTACTCACTGATGGGACTCAAAGTTTTGAGTCCAATAACACCCTTCTCCCCCAGCTAAGTTCTGAATCAGTTAACGAATAAAACAAAAGAGTAAGCCAAGGGGAAGACCAAAATATCACCTTTAATACTATAAATCTGATAACAAAGGATGAGACTTTGTATGCCGGCAAGTGGGCTACAGCAGGTGTAGTCATAGGCAACACCAGACAGGGGCAGCTTCCTCCTGCAAGAGCAGATTCTGTCCCTGAAAAATTGATGGCTTGGAGGACCAGAGCAGAATGTATACTTCCTGAGGGCAGCTAGAGAGAAAGGGAAAAGAAGGAACTGAACTATATATGTCCACCTTCTCCTAATAGACTCACCAACCAGATAAATTAATTTCTTCTCCCCTGGGGAAGAGTGAAAAATAGGGGAGAGAGAGGCCAGAAGGGTTATATAGGTGAGACTCTCATTCCACAGAAGGAACTATGTGGAGTAGGGATGAAGCATCCTCCCCAACACCTATCATATGCTGGGAAATGTGATAAGCATTGGACATCTTTATGTTTGTACACCGTTGGAACTTCAAACTCAGTACCTCTAAAACCTTCATCTTCTTTCCAAATACACTGCTTGCTTCTGTTTTCATCGTTAGTAGCATTACCAACCTCCTAAGCATTCTTGGTAAAACTATCAGACCATTTTTGACTTCTTTCTCTTGTCCTTCACATTACATCACCAAGACCTTAGATTATTTTCTTAAAGTAACTCTGGATTCTTATCCCTCTTCTTTCCCGTTGCTCCTGCCTCAGTTAAGGCCCGCATATTTCTCCCCAGAACCATTACCATAGGCTCCTGATTTCTTGGCTTCTTTTCTATCAACACCATTCTTCTCCTGCAAAATCTAGCTTGAAATCTGCCTCATCTACTGATCCACTGCAGTCGTAATTAACAACTCTTTCCGCAGATACCAAATATACACTGTGACAAACTTCTCTTATGGCATTTGTGCTGTCTATCTCAGTATCTCATGGGGCTTAAAAGAGTGCTTTCTATACATTTGGCATACAATATATGATTGTTGAATGAATGACCGAAATTAACACCATAGTCAGAGAACACAGAGAACACATAGCTTCATTCAACTGTTTAAAAACATGCATGGAGTACCTACTTTGTGCATAGCAAGAAGGAATTCTATTATTTTCTTAATTTTGATCTATGCCAACCTACCCAAAGTTGCATTTAGTCTTAGTACTGACATCTGGAACATTTGCTCTGATGTATCAGATAATCATGTATGGAAAAAAGGATCTGCTCACTGAATAAAAGGTGTATTCCATGCGTATGGCTTGGTCAGTTATTGTCCTATCAGAAGGCATTGGTTGTGCAGTTTGGAGCTTTTTACTGAGATTTTAACTGAGATACTGTTGTCAATACCTATCGTTTCAAATGACCAATGCTTTGTTTCCTCCTCTTCTGGGAAATGCCCTTTCTTTCATTAGATATTATCTCACTGGTTCAGGTGTGGACAGCCGACCCAAGTTAAGCCAGTCACAGTCCTTCCTGGGAATGCAGAATGGAACTGAAGAATTGCAATTCAGTCTGGTTACTCTCTTGAGTGAAAGCGATTTTTAAAACCAGGAGCTCTTGGCAACGACATTCTGCCATATAGACTATGAAGCACAGAAAGCCATTCTGAAGCAAGAGAGAATATGTTAGAAGAGAGAAACAAAGACTCTCAATGGAATTTCAGTTCTTGGTTCCAGCTTTTCCTGAACCCAAATTTCTGGACACTTTCTGTCCTTGATTCTATGAGAATTTACAGTACCTTTTAATAAATTACCCTTTTAGCTTAGACTTATTTGAGTTGGTTTTTTCTTACGGGCAACTAAGAGAGTCCTAACTAGTGCAATCACCAATTTGTTCCTCAAGATCGTGGAAGAGTTCTCTCTTTTTCATATACATAAAATTTTAAATAAAAGTATATTTAAGCTTCTAAGAATATGACTTCTTCAGTTATATTCCGCAAACACAGGGCATCAGCAATGTGCAAGGTATTCTGCCTGGCACTGGGCTTGATCGAGATGGCCGTTCTGATGTACTCCTTCCATTATAGTTTGAATCTAACTCAGCCTCACAAGGATGGTCTTAAAGGTCATTATTCAGTTCATGAAATTTCTTGGCACTATCTTAACCCTGGGCTTTGTATGTACTAAAGCACTGCAGGGAGACAAGTTTGCTAGGCCTCTCGGTCCTTGTCTTCTAAGCCTGGGAGGCCAATTCAATCCAGAGTTTTCTGACTAATCCTGGGCCAAAATTAGTGGGATCATTTGTCAGCCTCATAAGGGCTAAATAAGACTTAATCACACTCTAAGACTTCTAGTCTTTAGATTCAAAATCTTCTCAAAGGCAGGCTAGAACCAAACCAGTTTTGGGGGGCACGGGATGTAGATCACCAGCTGGAATACATAAAAATGTCAAATAATCAGCACTTTCCCACTGCTATGCCAACACAGTTCTTCTAAGTCAGACAGGGCCTCAGAATCCTAAACACTACCCTCCAGGTAACCACTCCCAATCAATGAGAAAGCACACAAGATGAGCCCTATAATTGCTATCTTTGATCTAAATGCCATAAATACTGTTTTATGTTAGGTTTCCCCTTGTAATGCAATCCCAACTGGAATTGTGATCAGGGTCTCAGTGAAGAAGACTCTAGAGCTTTTTGTGCCCCAGTACATAATATATCTGTTAAAGAAATTAGATTTTGATTTAGATTTGATTCTCTTCTCCAATAAACCTATAGAAAAAGTCTAGAGGAACCCACCTGTCACTTTGATATCCCCTGTGGCTTTGGCAATGTCATTCTCAATCATACAGGAGTATGTGTTGTTGACTGTGACATTATAGAGCACGGAAACCACCTTCATGGTCACATTCTCAGAGTTCAGCTCAAAGCTAGTATTGGAGACTTCTGAGAAGTTGGCTCCCCGGTCAGCTTGGGATGCCCAGACCACTGTGGGCTGGGGGAACCATCTGGGAGCTTCACACCGCAAGCTCTCTGAACTTGCATTATAGTCCACATTCACCTCTGGTATGCTAAAGGCTGTAGGGTCAAAAAGGGAAGATGTCAAGTTCAGACCGATAAGACAAGATAGCTTTTAAAGTGTTAGATCTTAAAAACAAAAACTGTTATTTTCACCATTGAGGTGATTCAGTACTTCCCGAGGGGGCTGTCTGTGTGTGGTCCATTGTGTTGTGAATGTAAATAACGATTTGCTCTTAGCATTGCCATACATCACACCCCTTTGGCCAAGAGCACAAAGTCAAGTACCTAACTGTTACAATAGATAATTTTCTAAAGTAAAAGAAGCTCTGGTGACCACAACAAAGTTTATCACTGAGGGAAATTGGACATTTTCCCAGAGACCTGTGAAACCTCCTGGATTTTATGTAATTTTCTGCCAGGAGGATAAAGTTAGAGTGGGGAGGGAGAAGGAGAAGAAACAAACAGCATTCACTTGTCACCCACAGACATTCCCACACGGGCCTTGTCATCACAGGGATTTGGAGTTTGCTTGGGTGGAGACTGCCCAGCCCTGGCATCCAGGGATAGAGACAGGCATTTATTTTCTTCCACTAAGATAATTCTCCACACTGAGGAGGCAACTGCATTTTGAGATTAAGACTAGCTTTCTACTATGTCTAGGCAGAGAGAGATTTGCGGACTTTCAACTGTAAAATGCTTATTATGCCACAATGACAATTTATTAATTTATTTAGCATCTTTTTTTGCCCAGGACTCTGCTGGTGCTGAGTGAATGGGGAAGGAAATCCCTTGGCTTGGTCTCAATGAGCCTGCAGTCTAGCAGGGGAGGCAAGACTCATGCTTGAAGCAGGCAGAGAATAAGCTCCTGGGAGATGATTTGGGAAATTATACGTGACAATGAACTACACTTGTGGAGGGTGTACTCTGTGCCAGGTACTGGTACTACTTCCCAGACATTATTTTATTTGATCCTCAACAACAGTCCTAGGAATATCTATTACCATCTTCATTTTTAAAAATAAACTTTTTATTTTGGAATAAATTTAAATTTACAGAAAAGTTGCAAAGATAATATAAAGGGTTCCTGTATACCTCTCACTTAGTTTCCCCTAATGTTTAACACTTTTAATAACCATGGTGTATCCGACAAAACTGAGAACCATAATTGGTTCATTACTGTTACTAAACTACAGGTTTTCTTTGGATTTTACCAGTTTTTCTACTAATGTCCTTTTTCTTTTTCAGTATACAATAACAGGATACCACATTGCATTTAGTTGTCATTTCTCCTTAGGCTCCTCTGGTCTGTGATACTTTCTCACATTTTGTGTGTTTTTCATGACCATGACAATTTTGAAAGGACTGGTCAGGAGGTTTTGTAGAATGTTCCTCAATTTGCATTTGTCTAATGTTTTTCTTATGATTAAACTGGGGTTATGGGTTTTGGGGAGGAAGACCATAGAGGTGAAGTGCCCTTCCCATCACATCATATCAGAGGGTACCTGCTGTCAACATGACTTAACACTGGTGATGTTAATCACCTGGCCAAGGTAGTGTTTGCCAAGTTTCTTTCTTTACTAAGTCTAGCCTATTCTCGGACAGTGGACAAGGGGATACTGAGCTCTACCTCCTGTAAGGGAAGGTATCTACATAAATCATTTGGAATTCTTCTGTAAGGAAGATTCCTCTCTTCTCCCACATTTATTTATATCAGTATCAACTCATGTATATTTACTTTATACTTTGAGTTATAATTCAGTATTATGTTATTTTGTTGCTCAAACTGTTACAGCTTTGCCATTGGAAGCTCTTTCAGTTTGCACCTGTGTGCCTTTGACACAGCCCCATTTATTCTCACTTTGTTGTTGTTAGCTGCCATCAAGTTGGCCCCCAACTCTATGGCAACCCCACACACAGAAGAATGAAATGCTGCCTGGTCCTGCACCATCCCCATGATTGGTTATGGATTGGACCATTGTGATCCATAGGGTTTTCATAGGCTGATTTTCAGAGGTAGATTTCTAGGCCTTTATTCCTAGTCTGTCTTAGTCTAGAAGCTCCACTGAAACCTGTTCAGCATTGTACCAACATGCAAGCCTCCACTGACAGATGGGGAGAGGTTGGCTTCCCCAGGCCACTGTACTTTCCCAGGACTGACTCTGGATCTGTGCTTCTAACCATTACACTACACATGTTATGAGGAGTCAAGAAGGTCCTGTGTGGGCCAGCTTAGTTTAGGAGGGCTCAGGATACTTTCTGCCTATCCTTCAAGACTCCTCTCAAATCTTATTTCTCTACGGGTGCTTTCTTATCCCTTCTCTCCCTATGCATTTGGATGTGATCTTTCTTTTGCTCTGAATCCCCAAATCACTCTGTTTATATTTCTCTTAAGGCACTTGTTACACTTTATCAATTATTATAAGCATTTACATACTTTTCTTATCTGTATTTGATTTTCAACCCTATAAGCTCTGCAAGGGGAGGGACAATCATCTTTGTTTTTTTAATCATTGTTGTATTCCTGAGTATCTATCTGAGTCCTTTGTATATAGATTCAGAATACATATGTTAAATTGGGTTGGTAAGGAAGAGCAGATTTCCTTGGGGGAGGATTAATGAGTTTATAGGATAATATTGTTTTGGTTGGTTCCTTTTGAGCTTCTGTTTGAATGGGTTCCACTATCACGAGTCCCTGGAGGTACTGATTCAGACTTGGGCTAGGGCCTCCTTAGCATAGCAAAGTCCTAAGCCAAATTATGGGCTTCTCTCATTAGCAATACCAGGGGCTAATATAAAGGAGACTACCTTTGTTTTGACAAAATATTTCAGGGAGTACACCTGGAAAGTCAGAAGAAGCTAGACCCCAGGACAAAAGATTTTAAGACCTAATATTATTGTTTGTTGTTGTTGCTAGTTGGTGTCAAGTCGATTCTGACTCATGGTGATGCTATGTGTGCAGAGTAAACTGTTCCATAGGGTTTTCAAGGCTATGACCTTTCGGAAGCAGATTGCCAGGCCTGTCTTTCGAGGCGCCTCTAGGTGGGTTTGAACCACCAACCTTATGACTGGTAGTTAAGTACTTAACCACTTGTGCCACCCAAGGACTCCTCCAAAAATTATGGTGGGATATTCTGGGGCTGGTGGGATCTTGGACACAGAATGGCAAGGATGGCTGCTAACAGAATTGGGAGGGTCTTTGTCTGATACATGAGTGTAACACAATATTTCATCAGCAATTCCTACTCTTTAGCCTCAAATATCTTTTGGTACTTTCTTTTCTTTCTCCAACAGTAACTCACCTCCAGTTTTATAATCCAAGTTAGCATTCCCCTTGCCCTTAGAAGTGATAATAAAACATTTATAGGTGCCAGCATCTGTGAGTTGCACATTTTTCAGCCTCAGAGAGGCATTGCCAACTATCACTTGATCGGTAAACACTGCTGTCCGGCCCCTGAACATTTTGTCCTGGTGTGACAGGTCATCTTTGCCTGCTTTGAACTCATGGACCAAGCCCATAACACCTTCCTTCAGCCACTGTATCATAATATCCGAAAGTTTGATGTCAGGTTCAAAAGTGCAGCTCAGGATTCCGTCCTCCCCGATGTTCCCAGCTGAGGTAAGAGTAGTGACTGTGATGGAACGTCTCCCTGCAATTCAGGAAATAAGGTTCAGTGCCATGGGAAGTCTTGGAACTTTTACAACCAAACCCTTCATTAATAAAAGTCAAACAGAGACTTCTGTAATAAGTTAGAAATTAAGAAGAACAGGAGAGGCATAACAAAAAAAAAAAAAAAAAATTAAAAGCTAAGAAGAACAGAAAGAGCAGGGAGACAATAATTTTAATATCTGCAATGTATCCTCCACATATATTATCTTTTGTGAGACCACTCAACCCAAACCTGGAGACACAGCAAGAAGAGAAACACATTGGACTGGGGGGTTGAAGACAAGAGTTCAAGTGCTTGACTTTGTCACTTAACAGCTGTGTGACCGTGAATAAGTCATGTAACCTCTCTGAATCTCAGAAAAATGAAACTAATAATGTCTGTCTTACCCACCTTAAGGGGTTCTTGTGAGGCTCAAATCAAATAGATGTGAATTTGATTTGCAAACTGTAATTACACATATGAAATTTTGTTATTTTTAGTTAATCAGAAGTGGCACAGAAGTGAAAACTCATGTTAAATAATGTGGCCAGTAATTTGAAGTGCTATTTTAAAGTGCTGTTACTTATATTGCCATTGAATTATGGAAAAATTAAGTCACAGAGATTAGTGACTTGGTCAAGGTTATAGTGCTAGCCATAAGATAATGAGGAATGGTACTTAATGCAATTGATTTTTGGCCTAAGATAAAAACCACTCCCTCCTCTCCAAAAATACCACCAGTAGAGTTATTAATTATGGTACCAGCTTTATCCAATTGCCCAACCCACAGCCCACCATTCAAGGAAGGAGAAACCAGCTATTCTTTCTGCAGCGGAGGCTGCTGACTGAGGACACCTATGTGTTGTTGAGTGCCATCAAGTTGATTTTCAACTCATAGCAACAATTGTGACAGAGTAGAATTGCCCCATAAGGTTTTCTTGGCTGTAATCTTTATGGAAGCAGATCGCCAGGTCTTTCTCCTGCGAAGCGGCTGGGTAGGTTTGAACTGCCAACCTTCCAGTTAACAGTGTAGTTCTTAACTGTTGCACCACCAGGGCTCTTTGAGGACAGCTATAAAAAAAAAAACAAAAAAAAAACAAAGCAAAACAAAACTGTTGCCTTCGAGTCAATTCTGACTCATAGCGACCCTATAGGACAGAGTAGAATTGCCCCATAGGGTTTCCAAGGAGCACCTGGTGGATTTAAACTGCTGACCTTTTGTTTAGCAGTCAAGCTCTCAACCACTGCAGACAGCTATAGGGGTAATTTAATTAACTGAATCTTCTTGTGAAGCTCTGTCTGTGGTTTGGATGTGAAACTAAAGAGAGGATGGGCCTTAGAGCCCAAGAGGAGAGTGAAGCAGTCATAAAGAAGTGTTGGGGAGAGACTATGACAGAGAAAGATGGAGTCCTCCATCGCCAGGGCTATCTTGAATCCTGAGGGTGTTCAGGTCTAGTTCCTGTCCCAATCTCGGCATTTTCTTTCAACAGACATTGCATATTAAAATGGCCTGTACAACCCTCTCTTCCTTATGGCCAAAAAGAGCCCAACATGATGGATCCTGAGCACTTCTTAACTAGACTTCATTTTCTTCATTGGTATCCCTGCCTCTCGTCTTTGCCTCCATCTAATCCATTTTACATGCATTAATCTTACAGGTAGATTTTAAAGTACAGTGTGAGCACGTCTTTTCTCTAATCACACATCTTTCAAGAACTGTGGAATAAAGTTCATACTTCCCAGCATGGCCTTCAAAGCTAAATACTGCATGGCACGTAGTAAATGCTCAATAGATATTAGCTCATATTGCTACCTTTCCAGTCTCATATCCTAGTACATCCTTTCATAGTCCATTTTGTCTATCTATATAAAATAAATGACTTGTTGATTTTCTGCCTTCAATAAAGAATACATAAGCAAAGCATACTTGCTCTTCTTCAAAGCTAAGAGGAAAACATTATGAACATAGATATATCTTTGGCATCTCTCCTCTTTTAGCCTGTTAGGGGGAGGTCTGTTTTGTCTAATTGGCTCCTGATCCTTTATAAATTAGATGAGGGTAGTGGATGAAGGACAGACTGGAGAATCTAAGCTAGATGGATTTGCATTAGAAAGAACAGAAAAGAAAAATTATAGCTAGAAAAGGAGGCAGAGGAGACAAAAACGTGCGTAGGAAGATGTTTTAAAGGCTTTAGAGCATGGGAGAAGAAAGACTTTGGGAGCAGCTGCCATGCATGGCCATTCATGTGGGAGATTCAGGAGAGAAATGAAGAAAAAAGATGGAATGAAAACTTGCTGTCATTAGAATGCAACACCCTCCCGTGCCTGCCTTGGCATTTTCTTGAAAACTGCTTTAAAGTTTGCTCTGTAATTTTTTTTACTTGACAGACTGATATCCAAGGCATCCCACGCTAGCACAGGCCATGCAGTTACACTCTGCACCTTAAGATCCTGTTCATGCTGACCTACAATTTAGGATTCCCTCTGGTCCTTGGAAACTCTATGGGGCAATTCTACCCTGTCCTATAGGGTCGCCGTGAGTCAGAATCGACTTGACAGCAATGACTTTGGTTTTGGTTTTCTTCTCCTTCATCACCAGTTATCCAAATTCTTCTTACATTCAAGTCTGTTCAGATGCTTGTCCATCCATGAAACCTTTTTTGGATCAAAATTAGTAGATTCTTTCCCTAGTCTCCCTTAACTTTGCTTTGCCTTTATTGTAACAGCTGTCTCTGTCTGTGTTGTCTCTAGTCTATCTCTGGCACTAATTTGTAAGCTTTTCAAGGGCAGAAGCTGTCTTAATCATATCTGTAATTCCTATAGTGTATAGTCCTCTCTTTCTATAGGGAAATTTTAATTATTATTGTTTGTTGAGTTAATGGATGAATGAATGCAGGGACATAAGTAGAAGTCAAGGCACTGTTTGAAATAATGATTCTATCCAGAATGACTGTAGGAGTAAGAAATATTTGAAAAGATTACAACACCTAAAAGTTTGGAGAAATGTGAACCAGTAAAAGAGAGGACAATAAAAATACCCAGGGATTTTCAATAAAATCATGGAGCAAATGTAACCATGTTAGAGCAAGGGTAAATTTGATTGTAGTTTATAAAGTGCCATTAAAGTTGAATTGAAAAATTACTTTTTGGAAAAAAATACATGATCAACACCATTTATAGAGAGAATAAAATGGTAATGACATATCTTAGTTCAGTAATTGTGCTATTGAATTAATTTTAATGTGTTGGCCTTGAGCTCACAGGTAGAAAATCAGTTGAAATATCTCCTAGAGAACTTAATGATTAAAAGCAGGCAGCTGTGTAGCCACATTGACCTGCTGCAGGCTGTAGCTCATTTAAGGTTTCATTAATGATGTGGCAGATGGAATGAGTATAATGTCGATTAAATTCCTCCCCCATAATATCAAACCAAGTGGAGGAATAAAAGCCAGTGAGAATTTAAAACCACCACAAGGACCTAGCCATTTCTTTGCACCAGGAAGCAGGCGATATATACTTGTTAAGTGAATAAATGAAGGTTACAAATGATAAAATGAAATTTAACTTGAAGGTAACAGCATACACATATGTAATGATCATAAACATTACTTTTTGCAAAAAGGAACCTGCATTCAAACTTGCAAACAAATATTGGCCCAAGGAGTTATGTTCTAGGAAATACAGTCTGACCTGATGGAACTCTCCAGACCTAATGACCACCCAGTGCCCCTGTGTAATTTGGTGAGCCAAAGGGTAAGAGGTCCCTAGGAGATGGGTTGTTGTTGTTGTTAGGTGCTGTTGTGTCATAGCGACCCTGTGTACCACAGAACAAAACACTGCCCTGTCCTGCACCATCCTCACAATTGTTGTTATGCTTGAGCCCATTGAGGAGACGGATTAGAACAGCTATCTGTTGATATATGATTCTGTTGATTTAAAAGGCTCAGGTTCTAAGGATTTCATTGACCTCTGGTATGCCATCATAACCCTTTAAAGTTGGAAACCCAGCCACTAAATGAATTTTCCAGCTTGCGAAGGCTGATTTTTACCCCAGCTCTGGTCTGTTTGGGGAAAGGGCAGCCGTCAAAGGGGAGGAAGCTAAAATCTGAGCAGCTGTGTTTTCACATGGGTCAAATACTATTCAATTAGTCCCACCTAGGAGCAGGAATGGAGCCCTGGTGGCACAATAGTTAAGAGCTGGGCTGCTAGCCAAAAGGTCAGCAGTTTGAACCCACCAGCCACTCCTTGGAAACCCTATGGGGCAGTTCTATTCTGTCCTGTAGGGTTGCTATGAGTTGGAACCGACTCGACGGCACATAACAACAGGAGCAGGAATATCTTAGAGAATGGATTTATAGATAACACAAGGTAAGGATTCTTTCAGAAATTATCATTCTAGCGGTACCCAACACCACTTGAAAAAACATGGAAAGTGAACTGGCCTTTGAAATGATTTGGTAAGACAAGTTAAGTACTTCCCAGTAGCAGAGAGCACACACTGGAAACCCTCAGCAGATGGTCATTCAACATCTGCCAAATCTGAGCTCTCCAGACGAGCATCACAGCATATGGCTTAAAGATGGAAACATATAGGCTTAAGCCTGTAAAGATGGAGTGTGTGTGCTACTCTTGCCAGACGAGAGGGTGGGATTGGGGGTAGCAGTTGCTCCTGTGAGAATAAATTAGAAAAGATGCTGGACAAGGCCAGATAAAGGAACAAAATAGGGAAGTAGCAGCACATGGTGTTTGAGAACAAGGCCCAGGTATCAGGCTGTCTGGTCTAAGTCCCAGCTCTGCCACTTATTGGATATTTAACCTTGAGCAAGTTTTCTAATCTCTTTATTCAATAGCTTTTTCATCCATAAAATGGGGATGCCAATAGTAAGTAGCTCCCTCAGAAGGTCCCTCAAATGACTAAATGATATAATGCAGGTAAAATGCTTAATATAGTACCTGGCTTGCTGCGTGTTAAGCCTTAAATAAATGTTGTCAGGTGCTGT